ATTATATAATATTATATAATAATATTACATAATAATATAATATATAATATAGAAAATAATATAGATTTGATAAAAATAAAATAAAAAAAAATTTTTTTAAAATATAATAAAATATATTTACGAAAGATTAGAATCTGTTTTGTGACGCATGCGCGTCTTGTTATGTTTTATATTGTATATGCATTCAAAATAGTTTAATAATAGTATAATAATAGTTTAATATTTCTGTTATATAATAATTATATAAATCACATATATGTTTTATGATTGATTTAATAATACCAATAATTGTTTCTTAATAATATTAATAAAATAATTAAATAAAATTAATACACATTTTTCATAATTGTCGATAGTCAAATATTATAAAACATTATATTTGTAAAAATTTTGTATGTAAAGATATTTATTAATAGTAATATTAAATTTTCGTGTAATTTAAATTTAATTTCGAATTGAGGAATTGTTATATAAATTGTTAATATTTAATTTATTAAGTGATTGTCGTTCACTCGGCAAGTTTTGTCTCTACCTCACCTGCTCCCCGCTTGCTGTGTATGCTGCTTTGCTTGTCTCTTGCCAGTCTTTCGTGTATCTGCATGCTCGTCACTCGTTGAAATTGAGATACTATATAATTTTGATCCTTTGTACGGTTATTTTTGAACATAAACAAGCGCAATCGAAAGTTTGTTTCAATAATTATCTTAATAATCATAAAGTTATGCGTTTTAAAAATCTATTGCTACAGCGTGGATCCTATGAGTAAGTTCAACAAGCCGATTTTGTAGATTTCGAGGTTAAGCATTCTTTTCTCACCCTTCTCTCTCGATTAATTTTGATTCTTCTCATTTCTTCATTCGATTGAATTTAATTAAAATATTAAGAATTTGTTCACTTTTTATTATAAAAACACATACGAAATATTTTTTAATTTTAATTGAAGATCGAACTTTTAAACATGTGATTATAAATAAACGAAAAATTTTAATTTAATAAGTGAATCTTTCATAATAACAATTAATAGATAAGTGTTAATATATAATTATAAAAATGTGAAGGAATGAAACGAAATATTTAATTATATATTTTCTGTGAGATATATATAATGATACTAAATAAAATGTAATGTGTTTTAATTTGTGGAAGTAATTTTTCTTTAAAGAAGTACTATGTGGCTTTTATGTAAACATATTATTAAAAAAACTAATTTCAATAGTATAACTATTGAAATATATTGAAATATATTGAATATCAAAGATCTATCAGAGATATATCAGAGATCTGATTAAATAATTTCATAAAATTTATAGTTTATTTTTCATATTCATACTTCTAATAATAATAAATTTTTTGCTTATATAATTTTCTGAAAAGTGATACTAATCCCGCTTGTGGTTTTATGAAACTTTCATTCGTCGAACATTCTTTTTAAGTTGTCTCGAATAAGATCCTTTTACCTTATAAATATTATTATAATATATAAGAGTGTATAGACATACTATTTTAAAACTATTTTAAAATCATTAAGTAAATATATATATATAATATTTGTTTTTTTTATTCTATTAAAAAAATTAATTAAAAAAAAAATAATATAAATATATTTAAATATTTTTATGTAAATTTAATTCGTTCATTTATATGTTTTATAAATTATCATTAAATAGTAATTATTTTTTTTATTGTAAATATTT